ATGACAGAAATTTATTTCTTGCAGATGTAGAGACTGGAAGACTAAAATCAGAGTATCAGGAGGTTTGGTTTCTCCTGAGTCCTCTTTCCTTGGCTTGTAAATGGCCACCTTTTGTCTCTATCCTCACATTGACTTTCCTCTGTGTGCTCATACCATAGTGTACATCTGTGTGCCCACATTTCTTTTACTTATAAGGACAGACTAGGTGAGTGGCCACCCAAGGTGATTCTTTTTAACCTAATCACTTTTTAAAGACACTATTACCAAATGCAGCTACCTAGTGAGGTACTAGGTGTTGGGGATAGAATGTGGAATAGAGCCCAAACAATAACATACACACAAACACACAAGTGTCTTAGTTTCAAAACCATGGGCACACTACTTATTTGTTTCATGTCCTTTGTTTAGTGATTATGTGTGACAGCTTTGCCCAAGTGAGGGAACACAGTATAAAGGATGAAGCCTTTTAGCATCAGTCTTAGATACAACATCTCCTCTTCCCAGCAGAGTACAATGGGGAAAATCAAGAAAAGAAACCCACAGTCCTCAAAAATAAAGCCTAAATGCACACATTTATTAAGAACAGAAAAACATTCATTTTTTTAGAACTTATATCTATTTTGGTATTTACAAGAAATATGATTTTACCCTTTTCATTTCAAATGGCACACATATTCACATGGAAAGTCAGGACATGACTCAAAAAATGATCTTTTCTACTTTTTTAACCCTTTACTTGAAAAATCATCCTATACTGTGACATCAGGCTGAAAGTGGTTTGAGGGGAGGGAGTGGGGAAAGAGGCTAGGGTGTGTGTTAATGATGCCCTTTGACTGTTGCTCATCATTTCAAATGGTGCTAGCAGAGGGTTTTGCCACCCAACTGCTTCTAATCTACAAGGACTCACTAGGCCTGTCCACATTATAATAAAGACAAATGTGGTTTCTCACTACTTCCCACACATCAGGTGTAAATGATGGAAGTATGTGGAACACCAGGCCTGTAGTTTTGAGGTTTCCTACCCTCCTGTTCTCCATCTGCTATACTCTACTTCTCAAGAGTTACAGCAGAACATAAAAGCTTGTTCATCATCCTGAGCTCTCTAAGTCTAGTCTTCTTTCCTCATCCACTGACATGTCTCCAGAAATTTAGGGAAAATAAGGGGGGTGAGGGGAGCTGCTTGACTTCTTTCCCCCTTGAGCCTACACTGGCTTCCTATTTTCACTTTTCCCAATGTGTTCTCTAACACCCAGTGAATTTTTAACAGTAGAGGTCTCTTAGCTCAGTTCAAATGAGGGGAGGGGCAGTAAAAGAGACAGTGTTAGAAGGAAGAGGGAAGGATGAGGGAACAGGAAGGTACCAGATCACAGGAGGAAGAGGAATGAATGAGGTAGGGATTCTTCCTCTCCAACCAAGGAGACCCTTGACTTCCAAATGGCTGGGGCCAGAAGTTCCCTCTATACAGACACAATAGAAGGTTTCAAGTACCTCATTAATAGTCCACAGTCACAAATCTCAAATTAAAAAAAAAGTAAGAAAAAGAAGGGAGGGATAGAAGGAGGAACAGATCACACAATTGTCCCTAGCAAGATATATGTCCTTCTACTTGTCTTATCAAAGATTTCACATTTTGAATATGAAGCTAAGGGGATAAGGAAAAGAGAGTAAATATCCGATTCTTAAACTACTCCCTGGGAGGCAGTAGTCTGGCTCCTCTTGGTCACCTTCTCCTGTTTTTTCCAGATTTTACTTTCTTAGTACTTCTCCACCAATTTTGGTATTTATCTGATGCCATTTCTAGGAGAAAAGAAGAATTTGATAGGGTGCTGAGCTAATGATACCATAAAATAATTCTCATTTGGTGAAGAAATGAAAGAAATTTCTTTCAAAATGACAAAACAGAGTTCACCTACACACACACTCTAACCATGTAATAAAAACACTTAAAATTCTCATAGACTCAGGCACATTCAGCTTTATGTAAAAGAAAACTATACACCAAAGGAATAATTTTTAGCTTAGCAAGAAGTTCTACAATTGGTGCCAACTCAATTTTATCCCCAATACCCATGGTAATAATACTGAAATCTTTCTGGGGAAGAATTGTGTTTACAGAGTGCTTTGACTACATTATATTCACTTTACAGACAAAAGTTACAAAAAGCCATATTATGAGATGAAGAAGAGAATGTGAAGACAGACAGACAGACAGGTAGATAGATGATAGATAGATAGATAGATATTAGACAATTAGACATATGAGTATGTAAAAGATAAAACTTTGTGACTGAATTAGCTGGGTAAAATGATATCCTCTCTAATCCCTTTTTATACATAAAAAATCAGGAACAATATTTGTTACCTTAATGAATGGTATAAAATTTAAATACAGTACATACAATGGTGACTTTCTTCCCAATACTTAAACACCCTCCTCAAAGAGGAGTTAGGTAAACCAAGGTCCAAAACTCAGGACTTTTATTCCCAACCAGATGTTTGTGTCCTCTCACCAGCCTACTCTGCAGTGCTAACGCTGCTCATATTTGAGCCCGCAGTTGACTTTTTTCTTAAATAATTGCAGCCACAATGTCTTAAGATGCCTTCGTCTCCATGGGGATGGCGATTCTGCGTAAGAATCGTATTTCTTCATGAAGGCTTTCACTGGGATTAGAGACAGACAATAATAATTATTGTCTAATTATTATTGTGAAAGTCTTAATACCAAAGAGCCCGTGTGGGGGTCATCTTGACCATGGCAGTAACTCACCTTACATCCATCTTCCTTGGTGATTTAGTGTCTATCATCTGAGCTTCTCCCATCCAAGTACTAACCAGGCCCGACCCTGCTTAGCTTCCGAGATCAGACGAGATAGCTCTGAGCTTCTCATCTTCCTGTCCAGCAACCACTAATAGCTCTGAGAGAAGATACTGGAAATCTATCCCCAAATCCCTGCTTATAATTGTCTGACCCAGTCATTCCCTTAAATAGAAAATTTTAGGGCTGGATGTAATGGCTCACACCTGTAAATCCTAGCTACATTGGAGGTATTGATTGGGAGGATTGTGATTCAAGACCAGCATAGGCAAGAAGTTAATGAAGCTTCATCAAATTTTGTCATGTGAGTGTACCCAGCTACATGGGTGGCATAAATACGAGGATCATAGTTCAGGCTGGCCAGGGTTGAAAGAAATTGAGACCCTACCTGAAAGGTAACTAAGCAAAAAGATCTGGGGATGTGGCTCAAGTGGAAGAGTACCTGCCTAACAAGTTCAAGACCCTAAGTTCAAACCCCAGTCCCTAAAAAGGAAAAAAAAATGGAGAGCTCTCTAATAGTGGCTTTGGAATAAATGTCCAACATGGGTCATTAGGTGAAAGTTAACATGATCACAAAACTTGTCATACAGTTTTCAACTATGGTTTCTCAGAGAGTAGGGAAAGCATCTATGAATGAATGATTCATACTATCAGCCTATAAATTCCAGAAATATACCAAAAAGGAGCCAAATTAGCCCAATATGAACCTTCTTTTCTTTCATAGTCTGACACTTTAGTTGGTTATTTTTTTTGTTGATAATTTAATAGAATAAGTCAGTTTAGCAAAAACAAATATTATAGATGTGCATTTGCTACTATTTCAAAGTAGAATCAGGGTAATTAGTTTTAATTAAAGTCTAGCAATTGGAGTTCTCTAAGAAAGAATGTACATAAATCATATTCTTCATGGTTATTTGTGACTTTCAGTTCAGATTTTTAATATTCTTCTCTTTCCTTCTTGAGTTAAGAAAGAACAAAGCACTTACAAGTCAATCAAGCAAAGATGTTTGGAAAAAATCCAACAACTGAATTTCAGTAAGGAATCACTCAATGGTAAGAGTAGAAAAGCAGCAGCCTGATAAGTATCAGTGTTCAACACTCCATGAGCATAAGGTTATATGTGTATATTTTCAAAAGAAATGAGGAGTTCGGGTAAATCGGTTATTGAGCTAAATGCAGGTCAGCTAATAGAGCTTCTATCAGATGCTCTGAGTCTAGTGAAAATACCACAGCAACTCTTAAAGACCATTAAGAATTTTCAACAGCCAAGATATGGAACCAACCTAGGTGCTCAACAACGGATGATTGGATAAAGAAAATGTGATGTGTGTGTACACAGAAATAATGGAGTATTGTTCGGTGTAAAGAAGATTGTAACTATGTGATTCACAGGAAAGTGGATGAAACTGGAGATCATCACATTAAGTGAGATAACTCAACCTCAGAAAGACAAATACCATATGTTTTAGCTGATATGTAGAATGTAGACCTGAAATAAATAATACGACAAGAATATAAAATAGGAAATTTTGGGGGGAAAGCAGAACCAGTGGGTGGGAGGAACATGACCAAACAATTTATAAAAAAGGAAAAAGAAAATGACAGTTCTTTAAATCTGCCCATGTACTCTAGAATGTACTGGAATATGACCCCAGAATTCTGAGCCATGAAGCATAGAAAAGATGTTTGCATTCTAAAAACTGCAAGATATGTATATTCCATTTGGACCTTACTGACCTATTTGCACGATCCCTTTAGTATAGGGAATGTCTGCTTCTGGATACAAAGGTCTTCATTCTAAGGAAGGTGGCCCTACCAGAATAGAACTCAAATCATGATTAGGTCAAGTACAGTGCAATTCTTATCCAAACCATAGAAAATTGTTCTCTGCGCTATTATTAACTATCCTTCCATGGCACAAAATATTTGGAACACAGTTGACACCTGAGAGGTATCATATTATTCAGCATTGGATTTGAGCATACATTAGTAGTTAGTATTATTTGTCTTCATGTGGCACATGCTGATAAACTTAACTTTCAGCTCTGAATTGGGGATCTGCATTGATCCTTTCAATTATCATTTTGCATATTTTATTTTTAGTTTGCATTCTTCTTTTTTTAAAAAAAACTGTGAATCATGTAACTAATACATCTCATGCATCTCTTTTGCTTCTACAGGAGGGATTTTTGAAACCGTGGAAAACGAACCTGTTAATGTTGAAGAATTAGCTTTCAAGTTTGCAGTCACCAGCATTAACAGAAACCGAACACTGATGCCTAATACTACATTAACCTATGACATCCAAAGAATTAATCTATTTGACAGTTTTGAAGCCTCGCGGAGAGGTAACTATTTTTCTACTTTTAAAAGCTTCTTTGGGTGGTATGTCTGATCCACAGGTCACCTCCTTTTCTCTACCTGCCCTTTCTCAAACAGGACATCTTAGTGCAAGTGGGTCACAGGAAATCTCGGTCCTCGATATCACTGATCAATGCAGTCTGAACTGACCTAACGGGCACTGCCAAACACTGTTTTCTGGGTCTTTCTGATTAGCTCACCCTTCAGTGCCCTCCACTCTATGATTAACTGGTGCAGCTGTGAATGGAAAATGTCAAGCTTGATCTGTTTTTCCTTCCTGAAGCTGAGATATCACCATGAAATTGTACCATGCGGTTAAATAAAACTTTGTGGAAGGTCATCCATCGAGCATGTGGAAATGCCCAGCACACACTTAACTCACACCTTGAATTTTAACAGGTTGCCAGCTGCTGGAATACCTAGGATCTTCCTAACTGTTTTTCTTTCTTTTTGCTCCTTTCCACAAAATTATAAAAATATGACGATTAAATCTATAAGAACAAATCTGAATTTCATTCTCTTTTTTCTTCTGAATAAAAGACAAGTGCCCAGAAAGTAGTCTAATTTATAGGGAGGCTTCAAGCTTTCTCTCATGGAAAGATTCATGCGGTGGTGAGGGGCTGGTTTAGACATACCCTGAGCACTTCTAGAACATTTCTTTGAAGCAAGATCACACTCAATATACCTGAATCATGGCTTCTGACAAGGGCGCCATCAAGTTACCAGATAAAGGAGTTTGTGTGGAAACATTTGCTGATCACCCCTTAATAGGAGGGGATCTTTTCCTCACAGACTGTGCCATGCCCACTGTAGATACATTAATAAAGAGAAGACAGTGAACTCATGTTCACCCCATAACTGAATTTCCAAGTAACTGAATGCTGGTTGCTAACTGAATTAACCTAGTTCTTTCATAGGATGTGTTTGCTTCATACAATGTTCTGCAGGAATTATAGCACTATTTACAACTTTTCTACCTATAGAATGACCTTAGTATAAGATTACTTTCTTTTCTAAGGTGTAAAAGCCAGGCATGGAGTACATGCCTGTAATCCCAGCACATGGAGGCTGAGGCAAGTTTAAGAATGCCTGACCTACATAGTGAGAACTTGTCTCAAAAAAGAAAGAAAAGAAAAAGAAAGAGGCTAGGCATGGTGGCTCACTCTTATAATTCAAACTACTCGTGAGGTGTGAAGAGCAGGAAGATCAAGATTTGAGGTCAGTCTAGACAAAAACTTAGCAAGACCCTGTCTCAAGAAATAAACTGAGCTTGGTGGGATACATTTATAATGCCAGCTATTGAGGAGGCATAGATAGGAAAGTATCCTCCTCAGGCTGACACAGGGAATATCAAGAGATCCTATCTGACAATCTAAAAAGCAAGAAGGGCTGGATGCATGGCTTAAGTAGTAGTACAAGACCCTGAGCTCAAACCCAGTATAGCCAAAAATAAAAAAGGGAAACAAATGATAGGTGGAGTTGGAGATACATTATAAATCAGAGTTGTCTGTGAAAAATAGTAAAACTTTATACAGTGCTCTAAAGTTTATAAGATATCTTCATATGCATTATGTATCTGAGTCACATCTTCTCCTCTTTCTCAGTTTGTCTTTTTCAATCTCTCTCTCTCCCTCTTTCTCTCTCTTTCTCTGTCTCTCTCTCTCTCTCTCTCTCTCTCTCTCTCTCTCTCACACACACACACACACACACACACACACACACACACATACACACACACAACTGAGCAAATGCCATAGACAGGCAACCACATTTAGCAAGGCTACTTCAACCCACAAAAAAATTGAAATCTTTCTTGTCATCTGAAGTACCTGCCATGCTTATAAATTAAACACCCGAAAGCTTCTTAAAACTGGTAATTTGCTGGCAAACAGAATCCAAAAGGATTGATTTTCTGTCAAGTAATATTAGCTTCCCAGAGCTATGTATTAGAAGGAATCTCAATCCATTGCTCATGCTGCAGAGAACAACAGCTCACACCCTCCCTTGGCCACATTTTACCTGGCTAAGTAATGAACACACATCCAGACATAAGCTTCTGAGGACAATGACAATTTACACCTACAGCACTTAATGCAGACAACCACACATCTTCATAGCTCAGGTGGTAAATAATTCAACACCCAGCAACACAGTGTCAGAAACCTTGTAAATGACTCTACATTTGGCTTCCCTTACAGGTCTGCAATGTGGCCATCAGAATTTTATTCATTATTCTCTTTAAATTAAGTCAGAGAAATGTAACAGAGCCATGTAGCTTTTCTACTTATTTTTATTTGTAAAATGACATTATTATAAGGCCCAACACAATTTCACTCAAATTTAGCTATTGTTTAATTCTAGTACTTAATAATTATCTCTTGGCAGTTCTAAATTCCTCTAAAATAGAATTACAATGTAAATTTAAAAATGCATTTAAACTCATATTTTATGCCTCCTAGCATGAGAGTAGTAGCACTATTTTACATGGTTGTCAAGGACAAACTGCTCCAACCTTTCTGGAGGAGACTTTGGTAACAAACAATTAAAAAATATCAAAACCCTTTAATAATAGCTGCTAACTCAACTCCTGCAAACTTGCTCTCAGGAAGTAGACTAAGATACAGAAAGAAAATATAAGTACTCTAATATTATTTATCACAGTCAAAAATTAAAAGGAGCTCTTAAATGTTTAGAATTAAAAGAGTGATTTTAAGTAAATGACATTCCCATGAAATGGTCTATTCTACACACAGAAAAATACATACTCTTGAAGAATTTGTACTAACTTGGAGAAAAGGTATGCTTTGTGTTCATTGAACAAAACAATGGATCAAACTGCATTTATATAATGTTCCTAATTGTAGAAAAAACCAGAGGTTATTTTCCCAAGATGATGAACTAAGTACAAAGTCTTTAGGTTTTCTACCTACTTTAAATATTTTAAATTCTCTCAATGAATGCATATACTCTTATAGTGAAAAAAAATCTGCTTTGTAAGTAAAAGCTTAAGTGTGTGATTACTTCATTTTGTTAGGCTACTTGTTGACTGAAGATTGGGACCTGACCTTGAGCTGGGGTCATGAGCCCTAATTCAGCTCTGTCACTATTCAGAGGCCATGACTAAACCCATTGTCTATGAAATGACTGGGCTGAATCAAATGTCTTCTGCAGATTCCTGTAAGCTGTGCTATTCCATTATTCTGTAATTAATTAGTCATCCTATGAACACTCTTCAGCAGTATTTCAAATAACCTCGAACTCTTGTCTGAGATTTGGGAAGACAGGAGCTAAAGCCCTTTGCAGTCAGCCACAGGGTCTTTTTTCTGAGTTCTGTGACCACAGTGATGTCTTCATTTCCACCATGCCATATGAGAGAACTTCATTCATATGACATACATTTGATAAATGGTTGGCTACTTAGCCCACGAAGTGCTTTTGGGTAACACCACATCAAGAAAGGGATTTAGACTCCATCTGATTGAAAGTAATGAAGCGAGACCAGTAATTCATTTTTATTTGCAGGGAGTTGGCCCTATGATGTATTACTAATCAGTTCTACATTTACATCTATCAGTATCTTAGTCTTTCAAGCATATTAGAAGTTGAAAGGAGCATATTCTCCCTCCCATAGAGATGGGGAATGTAGGATATTTTTCAATTGTTAAATACAAGAATTATTAAGGGAAAAACCAAACTCATAGAACTCTCTTTTTCTCTCCCCTTTTCCTGCCCTCCTTCTCCCTCCCTTTCCTATCTTTGAACCTTATCAGCATGTGACCAGTTGGCTCTTGGTGTGGCTGCCCTCTTTGGCCCTTCCCACAGTTCCTCGGTCAGTGCCGTCCAATCCATTTGCAATGCTCTAGAAGTTCCACACATACAGACCCGCTGGAAACACCCCTCAGTGGACAACAGAGACTTATTTTACATCAACCTCTATCCAGATTATGCAGCTATCAGCAGGGCGGTCCTGGATCTGGTCCTCTATTACAACTGGAAAACAGTTACTGTGGTATATGAAGACAGCACAGGTATGGGACTCATGCAAGACCTCCCCTGCCCATGCCTGCTCTGAACAAGGGGAAGCAAAGAGTTCTATAGACATGAGACTCAATTAGTAGAGTGGAGTGCATGAAAATGTCGTCCAATATGCAGCTGGTTGAGAATTCTAAAGTAATTTAGGATTCCATGGGTAGTGTATGCAAATAACTTTTGGTTTATTGATTTTTTTCTGATGATCTTTTCACTATCAAATTTGTTTTCTTTTAAATATCACCTGGCTGATATATGTTACAATCCAATTACAAGATTAAAGATGTTATTTCATTTGTGCAACTCTATTAAGACTGTAAGAACAGCAGGGTGTGGGGGTGCATAACTATATTCTAGCTAGATGGAGGTAGGAGGATCACAGTAAAAGCCAACCCTGGCCAAAAGGCACAAGACCCTACCTGAAAAATTAGCTAAAGCAAAAAAGGCTGGAGGCATGGCTCAAGTGGTAGGGTGGCTGCCTACCAAGCAGAAGCCCAGAGTTAAAACCCCCCTAAAAAAAGAAAAAGACTGTAAACACAATTAAAATGACATTAGAATAAGATTCTAAGTTATTAAGTAATTATACAAATGTCTGGAAAAGTTTCCAAAGTAGGTAGACAAACAAGAATTCAGTGAGAGATTGTACCATCAAAGTGGACCATTTTCCTCTGAAAGGGACTAGGAATCCTGGCATTGAGCCCCATAACAAGGTTTGAGTTGTTCTATCGCTTGTTCTAGGATGAAGGATGGAAATGTGGCTTTTCAGGATCCAATCTCAGTAGATATTTTCTCTGACCCTGCACCATTTGAAGGATTTTTTTTTAATTTTATTAGTAACTTCCCCTCTGACTTCTGCTTACATGTCAGGATTTATCAGACTTCTGACTGTATTTTGTTTAGTTTACAGTCACCCAGTGACTCTCCAGTGTCCACACAATAAAGTCCAAAGCCTTTTTTAAATCAAAGCTTTTCACCATTGAGCCATTTTTCGTCTTTACTAATCTAGGCACCAGCTTTCCTCCCCACCAATACACTCATGTCAGCTGTGATGAAAAGTCCATCATTTCTTAAATACCCCCACGTTCCCCTAACTCCTCTTCCTGAGGCTGCTCCATGAATGCTTCTCTACACAACTCACTCTTTGATGGACTACTTCATTCTCCATGAGTTCCTTGAGTTGCCAGAGACCACCAGAGGGTTCCATAACACTTTGGAAATAGAAGCATATCTCACATGTTCCTATTTTATGTTATATTTACATGTCTATGTGATTGGAAATTCCTGAATTTTATCTCATTTATGTTTATTATATGCCACCTACCACAGACCTGACATAGAAAAGAATTCATTAATTCCATGTAGAAAAAAATAACACTATTGTCTGAATTTGTCGTTCAAGAATTCAGATTAGCTCTGTTCTTTGAGCTACATATTGAGTATTATGCATAATAAAATTATCAGTGAAAATTAGTAAAAGGAGCACTTTCAAACTTTTTAATACTATTTCATTTTTCCTTGCCCTTTCACCAACCATTAGCACTTATTATTCCCCAGAGAATGAATGGTGTGCCTCCTTTATTTGGTAGAAAATCTAGTTGCATCTTATAGTGTCAGAGAAAAGTGACTATTACAGTGAAAATATGCATTTATGTATTTTCTTATGTCTCATCTCATTTTAAAAAGAAGTGAAGATAGTGTGTGATTGGATATATAATTCATAAATATTACATTGAAATCAGTCCTACTGGGAAGCTTTAGCCATAGGCAGTCATATTTTTATAGCTTCACCTGCTTGATGTACGGGAAGAAAACATATTATCAAATGAACTCCACAAACATATTTAAAGAGTCTTCAGGTAGAATATTATACAGTAAACATAAGTGTAGTTAGATCTTCCATGTGGCCTACCTTTGTTAGAGTTTCATGAGATAATAAAGTCATACTCAGTTTCATTATGATGAACTCTTTATCGTACAATCTCTCTCTACTTCTACATCTCCAGCAAAGCAAAACCATCCAAAAGGAACACAAATCAATGAAACATTGGGATTTTTTAAAAAGTTCAAACAAAGGTGTGAGCATTGTAGATTTTATATTGTATGTAGCAAAATGTAATGAGTAACTGGATGACATAAAAATTGATGCCCTATCCACCCTCTGACATTAGGTGGGCCACTCCTATATGATGGGTACTTTATATAGCAGAAAATCAAGCTGTTGTTTCTTTTACATAGGTTGCAATGATCTTTTTATATCCCTTTTAAATTCACCTGAGCTCAGATGCTCAATAAATACTTGTTGAAACTGAAAAACCAAATAATTTTGTGTATCACCCATTAAGTGAGAGATGATTCATGTTAAAATGATTTTGTCCACATTATTAAAATGCAAATGAATAATCAATTGAGTCATTAAATTGGAACCCAGAGAGTAAACAGATCAATTGAGATCAATAAAAGCAGACATCCTGAGACTTTGAGTGAGTTTAATACTGCTTGACTCAGGGTTCTTGGTTGCAGTAATTATCGAGCCATAAAAAGGAGTAAACTTAGCAAACCTGAAGGAAAAAAAAGGACTTAGGTGTGCTCAGTACCAGCCTCCCACACAGAATTATGTACCCATTAAAGAGCACTTTACTGGGATTTGTTTAGGAGTTTGTTAAATAGCCTGAAGCCAGCACAGCTGTTGTGGGACCAAATGGCCCATTACTCCCATTGAAGTCAATGGGAGCAGTGTGCATGTCTCTAAGGACAAAATTCAATTCAGGAAATACTAGCAGGCAGATTTGTGTCCTCTAGAAGTTAAAATGTAAAAAGACTCCAGAGAACACTTTGGACCAGCGAGGTTTTGACTCGCCTCATCTCCTCTGTCTCTTTCTTGGATATTCTCCCCATCAGTAACCTACTGGCTCTGAGTCTTTCATTAGGAGGTGACCCTGAGAGGTATTGAGAACTTGCTGCCCATTGGACATCCCTCTGCTTCATTAGACCCCTGGTGGAAGCCTGGCTTCCGTCCCTTCACACGTTTCAAAAAGAGCTGAGGCGCTGAGCACCAAATGCACTGTGGAGTAGATTCAGCAGCTTCTGCTTTCTCAAGGCCAAACTTAGCAAAATGTAGCCTCAGACAGTTCCACATAACACTGGCCAGCAAAATTTTTATGTAAAGAAGCCAAAAAGTATATAGCTTTGTGGCTATCTGGTCTTGGTCACCACTACTTCACTCAGCCAGAAAACAGCCAGCTATAGGCAATATGCAAATAAGTGGACACAGTGTGTTCCAATAAAACTTTATTTACAAAAATATATGCTCAACTAGACTAGGGCCCAGGGCTCTAGTTCAGCACTGCTATTAAAAAAGAAATAAATCTAATATTTAAAATTTTTGAAGCTTACGCACACATATGAAAAGACTCATAGCTCCTCCTTCTAGGTCCCTCACCCTTCTTCATCAATAGTCTTCTGTCTCATTATTTCTAGGATTTGCCAGGTTCTTTTGACAAATTTTCAGAGACGTCTTATAGGGTGACAATCATATAAAAGGCAAATTAATAAGAGAAAAGCATAACAAATTTATTTAATCAAAGTTTTAAGTGACCCAGGAGTCTTTAGAAATGATGACTCAAAGGCGCAAAACTCTTTTTTTTAGTGCTGGGGATGGAACCCAGGGCTCTGCACATGCTAGGCAAGTGCTCTACTGCTGGATTATAACCCCAGTCTCTAAAGCCATTTTTATACTTAATTTATTTGGATGAAGAATAGACAGCTATGTAGAATATGATTGGACACAAGGAATGATTTAATGGTAACAGACAGAAGAGGGAAACCCAGGAAGACCCATCTGATTCTTCCTGGACTATCCGGGTAGCATTGCTTTCTACTGGGTGTGTGGCAGGTTCCTGTGGAATGAGAACCTTTAAGAGAGAAAGGAGAGTGTGATAGCTTTCTTTGGGAGAGAAGAGTTCTAAGTTTCTGTGACTCCCTTGGGTTGAGAAAAAATGATGGAGACAGGATGGCAGGAGAAATTCAGAAAGACTTTGCTTCTGAGCTTTTCCAATCTCTTTCAGATCAAAGTACTCAGCACTCCAAGGTGTCATACTTTGAGACATGTTCTGAGCCCAAACAGTGTTAATGGGTAATAATGACTTAAAATGTTTATTTGAAATGGATCACAGTGGATTCTAAGCTTGGTTTCTTTAAAAAGCAATGAAAACATGAACATGGCATGCCTGAGAAGGTGGGATTTAAAGTGTTCTGTTCTACTTGGTTAGATGTCCACCAACATGACCAGCATAGAGAGCTAGATCTCAATAAGCAAATGCTAACCCAAATTTCATGGGCAAAATGTGAAAAAAAATATACTTGAGCCTAGTTTCTATTTTGTGAATGACTAAGAAAACACACCTTACAGTTTTGTCTATTCCTCCTTCCTACTCTATCTTTCTGTCCTTCAATAAATTAACCCAATGTTCATGTACAGTTGGATCAGGTGATATTTTTTGAGATACTGGGGAAAACAAAGAATACCACACCAACATGCATATTCTTTGTTATGGTTGCCCTTCCCTAAGATCTAAATGGATTCCTTCTCCAGCATGCTTTTTGAAAAGTTTTATGTTTATGTGGTTATAAAAAGAATATTATTTTCTACATATTATACTTAAAATGAAGAAATATGGAAGTACATAAAACATCCAGGAAAGCCATCAGAGTTAACATTCTAGAGTATACTCTTCTAGACATTAGGTAGGCAGAATGGCAGACAGAAAGGCAGACACACAAATAGATGTCCTTGTTTAGTGAACATTTACTACTGGGCGCTACTGTAAGCACTGTTCTAAACCACGCAGAAATATCTCTGACCTCATGAATTTCACAGTCTGTTCATCTAATGGACACATTATATAAGTAAAAATTTAATATAATAGATGTATTAATGTAATAAAGAAAAATAAAGCAGCAAATGACATTTGGGAGACTAAAGAGAAAAGATAGGGTGTGT